TGTCAAGAGATGCAATTGCTGGGTTATTTGGCGTCCCAGAGTTGGAAACGATGTACGTCTTACGGCGTGAAACGTTTAAACCGTGACACAAGAAAGAAAGCCGTATTCACATTTAAACCACACCACTGTTTTATTTTGAAACGTCAAACACCATATCGATTTGAAACACTCCAAAAAATACAAATTTATCTTCATTCCATTCAGAAAATACTGCTTCACAGTATTTGTTTGACTCTATATAAATGGAGACAATAAATTTGTTTGATTCTTTGGAGGTGAATAAACAAAAATAAGACACAGAACAGACGCTATCAAGCCCAATGTGAGCACAGAAGACGTTTTATCTGTGCATTAGTGCAGTGTTTCCCAAAATCCTACAAGGGATCCTTTGAAAGCTACTTTGAGCACAAAGAATGAAAGACACACGGTCGTGCCTAAGTGCTCACTGTATGAGCTCATATAAAGAACGGGAGTAGAAATATCACTCAAGTTAGTCTCTCTTTCAAGTTGGCTTTTTCACGCAGAGGTGGTTAAGTTTCCGCCAGCAGATCAGAAGTGCACGTTGTATAGTAATTTTGAGTAGCTGCTTTATGATCGATCACAGAAGACTATGAATTTGAACGAGTGTTACGGTACAATATGTTCGCAAAATTTCACTTCAAATTACGAAATTTACAAAAAGCTGACCATGGTTATCAGCAAAGAAACGCCAGATAACTTGCCTACCCTATGTAAAGCATGGACATATCGATCACAGGTCCTGCTAAGTTGTGGTTCACCATGATTTTTTGGATGTCCGGATTTTCGCCAAAGCCTTCGTTCAGCAGTGCGACCTAGAAGGTAAGCTCTTACATGCATGCTGAGCCTAGAATATTCCAAAGCAAAGAGGGCCTAAACATTTCCAAGGTTCACCGACGATATGGAACTCCTTCACTTCTCTGGTGATAATCATATTGACGATCAACAAAAGGTGAATCAATCTACACCTGGCGAAAAATCTATCCACTGTAAAAAACTATATATGCCAGAATCGAAGCACTACTTAGCAACCATTGGCCAGTTTATTTTACCACCAACGAGAAGCTTGCTTTTCGAGGATCACCTATGTTTACAAATATGGTGGGGAAAAGAAGTAAAATGAGGAATCAAGTTTTCCCATAGGACTGACCATTTTTGAGGCTGACAAAGAACTATTTGATCAGTAACGATGAAGTTTCCCACTAGAGATACGCTGAAGCCGAGGACGTATTATTTATTCCCTGCCCCGATCGCCTAATTTAGTAAGCTTTTTGAAAACGTGCCCAGAATTGTTGTATAAATATAAACAAGTTAAGGAAACCCCGTGGATTAACGGTTACAGCTTTGTGGTTACTAAAATGGAACGGATTGTTTTTGAGATTTTCTAGAGGATGGAATAACAGTGGAACAGCTGATGTCAAAATTTTGAACGACATGTTGAGTGGTATTCGACTGACCTCCTCCTCTGAATATCAGAGGACAGCCACGTGGAATCATGCACTTTATGTGAATGTTTCCAGCATACCACAAGAGAACCTGTGAATTTACTATGGTAAATTTACTTTCCCTTCCAATTTATATTTGTTCATCCCTATTGCTCTACTATGATATGATAGTAACGCTGAAAGCGGACACCGCCTTCAACATTGTCAAGCGACCGCCTGAGGAATCTAACAAAAAACAGTCCAAAGACTCACTCTGCAACTCGGTCGCCAACCAGATGCAGGAAAAGCAACATAAACCTCCCGGATAACTTTACCCACGTGTTTCATCAGTAGCCTACGTCGCCAACCGGTGACCGTTTGCTCACATGCCGTCAGGACGCGCCCAGACATGAAAAAAGCATGTACGCAGAGTGACGTACCCCGAAGGTCACCATCGGTACGACACGTTTCGGAAAGCAGGTGAGTTGGCGGAGCACACCAAACACGGCTTAGCAACATAAGACCAGTGGAGTGTGGCTGAATATGTTGACGACCGGAACACCGCTGTACAGAACGAACAGGTGAACGACCATATTTCGTCATTTAGTCATCTTATATATTTACGCAGAAGCTCTGTGTGTTTTGTCCTGACTATACGTCCGTGTCCAGGGTTCTCTGTCTTCTTATCGCGTGGTCTGGCAGGCTCAGTGCAGGCATTACCAATAGACGGCCACCCGCGACACAACACTCGCCGTAACAAATGTCTGTTCAGTCCCATTGAAATGCCATGATAATGGGTAACTCCTGAAAGGAGCAAAATGGTGACAAGGACTTGGATAAGAATAGAAAAAATCGACGAATGAAACCAGCGAGTTTGTTTAAGGACCTAAACTGGTGCTCATTATTATGTCTTCACACGTAGCCTAAACAGTAACCCAAAAAGTCCCCCGAGTGTCTGTCCTACGATTTCGTACCTTCGAGCTTAGATCAGCAGCAGTAAATAGAAGATAAGATGAGGTTCGGCTTCGCGCGAGCCACTGACAATGTTCAGGCGTCCTTCGTATCAACAACTGATCACAGTCGTTTTGGACGTTAACATATATCTCATCTTTCCTTTCGTAGGTTGTAATTTTCCATACATGATTCATGGTCCCATCATACCGAAGGAATTTTGTCTGCTTGTACGTGTCTTCAGTGCCAAAAAATATCTAAAACGACAACATTTGGATCTGCCCCAAACCATTTCCATATTCACACACGTTTCTCCTTCTGTCAAAAAAAAACAAAAATGTCGGTATGCAAACATTAAACTTGGGGCATCGTTTGGAAGAAGCGGGTCAACCTTGGCTATTGCACAATAAGACTGGTCCTTTGCCGTAGCGGTAACAAGCTTTCTCAGCGTATCAGGCAACGATTAGCTAATTTGTTTGCTCGGCGTTAGCCGACATACTTTCGAGCTGTTGCCTTATACAACGTCCCACCTCCTCATACTCATGTTACGGACCTCACTCGCCCCAACTGGCTAACAGCCAAAAGCGAACATCTTTCTCATCCATTGAAAAACGTCCCGCCGAATAGATCGAAACTTCTCAGAATAAAGCTACTTTCTGTTCTTTCTCAGAATGTTGCCTATCAAAACACAGGGATGCTGTGAGGGTTTACAGGATACCCTCTTTACTTCAACCCAGACAGCTAAGTGCGTGCACGGTTCTCAGTTAACCTGTGCTCTCCTGGAGAGATTGGTCGTTTAGATTATTCCGCTCATGGTTGAGTGACGTTTGCTTACGGTAGATGTTTTTGTCCTTGTAAAGTCAATTAGAGCTCAGACGCTCGCAGTCGAAACAAAAACCGGTAAGCTGTCATCGGTAGCACAGATGTGTTGAAAAAATCCGGTACTCTATAGAAAAGGTTTACAAAAACCGCGTCTGTAGCAAAGTTTCGAACCTGAGTTTTCGCAGACAAAAATGTCGACTGTCTACAACAACATTTAAACGCTTGCTTGCCAACGTACTAGGGTAATAATAATCGGATTGCATATAGGTGTTAGGTCAAGAAATATTCAAAAATTGACAATTCCCAGTAAGAATACTCAAAAGAGATTAAAGGTTTTTGAACACATTCAAAGTCGGAATTTTGTACCAAAAGCCTGAACGACTTCCATATTCTTTGGCTTCCACTAAAGTTGCTTAAACCTTCTTGTTTCAAAAGTACAAATTATTTTGTGATATTTTTGGATCAGCTCACTCTGTTTGGTAAATTCACCGCAATTTTGAACACGACTACAAGCTAAACAAGCAAACAACACTCGGAATATTCTTGATCTGTCAGCTGTCTCTATCGATAGCTCCCATGCCAAAGAGCTGGTCTATTTGCTTTTCACACTCGCGCTGTGTCTGTTACATCAGTAGCCTGTCAGATCAAATTGAAGTAAGATCAGTGGAGGCGGTGAACAAATGGATGAGAATAACCAGGTTGATTGCGCTCCTGATCCCTCTTTATTGATGACAAACGTGCATGCTGGACTGGCGGAGTTCAAATACAGCTGATTTAGTATGACCCAGATAAATTTAACTTGATACAAACGGACGTTCAAGTAGTAAATAAAGTTTGTAAGGACTGTGATACAAAGTATATTTCGTGATATTAAAAAAATAATGAAACAGGTTGCGAGCTGTCGAAGAGGTTTAAACAACATTCTGTAGGTCCCGTTTGGTCAAAGAGTACGTAGTACATTAGTTTGCAGTGATGCTGCATAGCGGGAGGATTTGTGGCGCTTCGAATGACCAGGAAGGTGCGTTACGTTTTGTAAACTCAAAGCAAGGAGTCAAAATGAATCCTTGTAACGATAGAGGAAAATGTCGGTAGCTCCGGTAGCGTAGATGGTCGCAAGCTTGTTCGCTGAGCTGGTGGTGGCACAACCACCAACCCACCGCTACGCACAACTACGCTCCACAATAACGCACTGACGATGTCACCTCGATTGGTGATGAAACGTTTGAAATCGAATTGCCCAGGTCAGCGAACAAGCCAACGACCACCTTGTAAAGATTTTGTTTAAACTTCTTTACTCTGCTGTAGAGGTGAAACCCCAATTATTCCAGTTCATACGACATCAAATAAAACGTATATCTTGGATCACGATGTCGTATAAACAGACTCATAAATACCATTTAAAGTGGGGGATTTTCCATTTCTTTTCAAGGGTCAGTTGCGCCAATTCATAAAATTACTGTCGGATAAAGCGAGCTTTGTTCAGTAATAGGGGAAAACCTGGGGGAAGGAAGAACATTAGGTGTCCAGAGAGAACCTCATGAGTATGCTGTTGACCTTCGTAGGAAATATATACTAAAAGGTCTTGTAGTTCGTGTTAGGTTTAATATACGGTATCTACTGATATCAGTTTTTTCATCTGAAAGGATTCAACTGGGACCAGCCGTTGGTCACTTTCAATCGGCTATACACGTAGACAATCACCCATAAGCATAAAAACGCCGTAAGACTAGGTAGACGATTGGTCAACTCAATCCAAAAGAGGCACTTTTCTGAATTTTTGATATTTCCGTATAAGTATGGTTCAAAATTTCTTACAGATATTACATTAGCAAAAGTGGCTCATTATCGTGTCTTCGTATGTTAAGAAATTTTGGCAGTTTTGTTGCACGTTTTTTGAAGCTAGATTAAAACATGTTTGTCCGGTTTTTATAAATAAAAGCACCATGTGAACTGGAAGGCGGGGAGTTCGTCATACAGACTAGGAAAAGCGTGGATGGAATCGAATCCATTTGTAAGAGCCATCCAGAAAATTCCTATACGCTTTCGCGCCATGGGTAGATTCTAAAGTGTGGAACAGGTTCAGTGGGAAAAAGTTCGGTTTTGAGGCTAATCAGCCACTAAATGAAATGAGTTCATTCTTTGAAATGCTTGGGGCAAAATGCAGATTGATCCAAATTCAGTTTTTTTGGCGGCTTCGTTCCTTTAGGACGGGGTACATGTGCAAGGATAGGGCGGGTTTCACGATGAAAGCCATTTTGAGAGTGAAGATCTGTCTATGTGACTGCAAGATCCGGGCGAATGAAGACAATAATCCAGACTAACATTCGAATTGGTGTTGTGTGATTTGATTTAGGTCTTTCATCAAACCTTCGAGGTTGACCATCTCTTGATGCAGCTCTTCCGCGCTATATTCACGCTAAAATAGATAAGAAAAGGGGATTTGGTTAGCGTCAGGCTTTAAAGTGTTAAAGCAGACACATGAAATCAACCGTAGTTTGTTTGCAAAGAATACGCTGCCTCAAAAGCTGCCAAAAAAGTACTGACTGTCATGAAGCTCAGTTTTTGTTAAGTTTTGGCAACTTTGGAACAAAAGTGAGTAAATTCTGAGTGGCTGTAATCCGAAGTTCTCAAATAGGCCATGCAACTTTCAAGTAATAAGCAACAACAGGTTGGGTAGTTCTTCTACTTTGGGCACATAGGATTTATATTCGTTCTGGTCGTCACTGACACTTATCTCGTCCGAGGGATTGCCGCGAATAACGTGTCAATGAACTTGGACCACTTCCTTTTGCCGTTACACGACTCTTTAAACAATGAAGTTATTCGGACTATCTTTGGATCAAAAATATTGGCAACGTATGGATCAGTTTGATGGTACAGTTGCGTACACTCTTATGTTTTTGAGACGCATCATTTCGATTTCTGGCTCCGGTCCCATGCTTACAAGAATATCCGTTCCATCAACAGGTCGGGACATGGCATTAGGTCACCGGATTTGGAAACCTGGGATTCATTAGCATCAACGCTCAAACTTGCATTCAGTATACCAGGAGAAGTGATTCTTTGTCTTCAAGTCTCCTGAAAATTGTTTTTGTGTGGCATGAGTCAATACCCGTTCGCCATCCCACTTGCTGAAGGTCTTGCGGAGTCGTTTATGGGAATCTATGCATCCCAATTCGCTTTGTTCTGTTGAAGCAACATTACAAATTGTGACGTTACAACAAAGACTTTTTCAAATTTTTCAGAATCCTGGCCAAGGAAAGTCCAGGAATGACCAAGATGACTAATATTGATCAAATTAACGCGTTACGGTGGGCTGTTTCGGTCTTCCGAGCTGTCCTTTTCTTTTGAGAATAACCTGAGGATAGTTGCTCATCTAATCGTCATTGCTATGAACTCCATAGATCCGCTCATCCAGACAAGCTTTACATGGTCATTGGCTAGGTTTGTTACTCATACTTAAGTCACCTTTTTGGAATCTCAAAGTCAGAGCAAACCACAACACATAACGAACGTACCAAAGTAAAATCAATAGTGGTTAGATCAGTTGATAGGGCGAAACAGTTCACAATGCTTCTCCACAAAATACAATAGTGTGAATACTTCTTGACAGCCTGACAATAAATATTTGCCCCTATTTACGGTAGAATCGATGAATTACTGCAACACTGTACATGAATACAACTTATTAGAAGTCAGTGATTCTAGCCAACGATAAGGCACCAAATAAAAGTCATCGCGATTACTGTAGTAGAAGATGTGCCTTCAGAAAATTTGTGTATTCGCTACTGGCAGATCAGAAGTTTCCCGCTAGTTTAGTAGTTTATGAACAACGACAGCTTTCTTTGCGAAGCTTTGGCTGTTTAACTGTTCTCTGAGCTTGGAAGTTTACTCACAGGCACGTCACTGTCAGTCAAACAGGCATTCTGACAGCGTATTATATTAAAGTTTTTTTCTTTACTCAGCGTAGCTCCGGTGTTTAGGCTTTGAGCTATAACTTTCTGGTGATTATACACGTCTTCTTGTCACGGGTGACGGTTGATTTTTAAGATGATAGTTTTCTTATGGGGGGTGACCAATAAACTTGACATATGCAATGTATGGACCTGATACGTTACTCATAGGGTTGCCGAAAACTCTTCAACTGCCCATGCTTACAAGAATATCCGTTCCATCAACAGGTCGGGACATGGCATTAGGTCACCGGATTTGGAAACCTGGGATTCATTAGCATCAACGCTCAAACTTGCATTCAGTATACCAGGAGAAGTGATTCTTTGTCTTCAAGTCTCCTGAAAATTGTTTTTGTGTGGCATGAGTCAATACCCGTTCGCCATCCCACTTGCTGAAGGTCTTGCGGAGTCGTTTATGGGAATCTATACATCCGAATTCGCTTTGTTCTGTTGAAGCAACATTACAAATTGTGACGTTACAACAAAGACTTTTTCAAATTTTTCAGAATCCTGGCCAAGGAAAGTCCAGGAATGACCAAGATGACTAATATTGATCAAATTAACGCGTTACGGTGGGCTGTTTCGGTCTTCCGAGCTGTCCTTTTCTTTTGAGAATAACCTGAGGATAGTTGCTCATCTAATCGTCATTGCTATGAACTCCATAGATCCGCTCATCCAGACAAGCTTTACATGGTCATTGGCTAGGTTTGTTACTCATACTTAAGTCACCTTTTTGGAATCTCAAAGTCAGAGCAAACCACAACACATAACGAACGTACCAAAGTAAAATCAATAGTGGTTAGATCAGTTGATAGGGCGAAACAGTTCACAATGCTTCTCCACAAAATACAATAGTGTGAATACTTCTTGACAGCCTGACAATAAATATTTGCCCCTATTTCCGGTAGAATCGATGAATTACTGCAACACTGTACATGAATACAACTTATTAGAAGTCAGTGATTCTAGCCAACGATAAGGCACCAAATAAAAGTCATCGCGATTACTGTAGTAGAAGATGTGCCTTCAGAAAATTTGTGTATTCGCTACTGGCAGATCAGAAGTTTCCCGCTAGTTTAGTAGTTTATGAACAACGACAGCTTTCTTTGCGAAGCTTTGGCTGTTTAACTGTTCTCTGAGCTTGGAAGTTTACTCACAGGCACGTCACTGTCAGTCAAACAGGCATTCTGACAGCGTATTATATTAAAGTTTTTTTCTTTACTCAGCGTAGCTCCGGTGTTTAGGCTTTGAGCTATAACTTTCTGGTGATTATACACGTCTTCTTGTCACGGGTGACGGTTGATTTTTAAGATGATAGTTTTCTTATGGGGGGTGACCAATAAACTTGACATATGCAATGTATGGACCTGATACGTTACTCATAGGGTTGCCGAAAACTCTTCAACTGCCCGCGACCGGTTTCACCCTTCTTGGAGCTCATCAGGCAGATACAATCGCCAATTTTTCGTCAACCTTATGTAATATTTGAACCCAAATTCCACGAAAATAGCAAAATGCACTCATTTGCATACCAACATGGTCTTTAAAGGAGACTCACCTAGAACCAAGCTGAATCTTGCGTTTATGATGTCGAAGGCTAATCAGCAACCTTACGAGTGGTGTATCACGTCTATAAAATTTATCTTGATATCTCGAATATAGTGCTAAACAGATCATAAAGCGGCCTGGCGCAGCACATCCAGGTGCTTGAAGACATTAAAAACGAGAGGTTCAGCTGGGTCCCAGGTGAGTCTCCCGTCAAGATTAAAATGGATGTCTTTTGCCTCACATATACACCTCACCTGGCAACATCTCCTCTGTGGATTAATAACAACCGTGCGTGCAATGTTGAAGCCTCTTTTGACAACAACGCCTTTGAAATCTGAGGGCCAAGTTCGGCCAAATGATCACCTAATGAAAAGTTGTCTTTGAAACATAAAACTATCAATATTTGGGAATTTTGCAGATCTTCATTTTGTGAATAATCTCGATTCAATTGTGTGTCCAAAATACAAAAGATGATCTGTGAAGCTGATGAAATTTCTTTTGTATGTCAATGTCGCCTCACGTGGTGCACGAGAAATTATTGTAAATTTTGTCTCCAATTAGTTGGGACAAGAACGAAACGAGATAAAGTTCAACCGAATTATGAATTTTTTGGCAAGATTGTTACACCTTGCAGTCTTGATCATACTCGCTGGATTGTCTTTTGGTTTGTTTTGTGGTAAATTAGTCAAAATGTCCGCAACACACCGCAAAACATGAGACAAAAATAGCCCATCCGGTTTTTCGGACTGACTACATTGAGCCGATTCTGCATTTCCGACTGTTGCCGTGATTAGTATCATTATTATTATGGGTATGATTATGGATACTTCATAAATCTTTTTAATTGAAATAATCATCTTCGATTGCTGTTCGTTCCAGCGTCAAGATTCTGGGTTAAATCAGAATTCACTGCACTTGTGGAAAAACGAGGTCCAACGAATCAACAGCCTTCTTGCATCAAGTAAGGGCACGGAAAAATCTGCCGAAAAAGTAAATGACTTTTAATTAATGTGGGTTCTCACCAGGGCGGTTTACTTGCTTATCGCCAATTTTGTGTTCGATGTTACTGATCTAGTTTAGGTTAGTCATGAATTCATCAAAATGTAACAGATGTTAAATAATGGTCGACTAAGTGGCTTAAAACGTCAAAGAAATTCCTTCCCGGAGAGGAACTACGCAATTCACGATGTAATTGGTTAGGAACAAAATTAACAATTCTATTTCAGTTCTATGAAATCTCATTGGATATTTATTAAGCAGTCTAATTTTCCCTCTGTGATACCGGTGGTAATAAGTATGTATTACTTGATGTGTCTGGAGCTTGGGAGTATTAATCTCGTGAAATTTCAGGGGGCAGAATAAATCTTCTACGATCGAGTGTTGACCGCCTCACGCCACTTGAAGATGGACCAGGTATTCAAAAAGAAATTCGCACTATAGCCTGGCCCAGTACCATGATTTCTCATACGTACGTTCCTTTATGAGGTAATTTGTCAACTACAGAAACAGGTTTCCTTTCCTCTTTTGTCATTTGAATCTCTGGAGTGACTATTTTGCATGATAGAACGTTCCAAACAAATAATGCACACCGCAGATTGACCGGAGCAACCCTATTGTCCAAATCGTTTGATACGCACAACTTCGGAGCCTCTTATTTTCCCACCTGGATACCACTTGCGGGATATGAATATAGTGAATTCAGGCAAGGGACGAAACAACTAATATTGAGCACTACTCATTTGGTCAAAGTGGAATTTTCGAAGGGATGACGAGTTTTGGCACATGCTGTTTGCTTCATTTATGCACTGAAATCAAGCGCCAACTTTTTTCCCGAGAAATTTGGAAAGTATAGAAGGGGTACTAGCGGAACATCCTACGAAAAGGTAATGCAACATGCCTCTGCGTCGGCGGATCATTCCATACTAAACTAGTAAAAACTTCTGCCGTGTGGATCAACTAGCGTCGACGACTAGATTGTGAACCTACAGAATTAGAGCCTGTATTTTTAGTGCACTGCTGCTTTTGAAACCGAGGAGATGGGTACATAGCGATGATGGGTGGTTGGACATGCTTCGGAGCGACATGGCATCGTAATTTGTCCTTTTATTTATGAATCCCCCTGAGCCCTTCAATTAGCCTGATGGTCAGAGTAAACTCTTTTTTGGGACATTAGAGTTACGGAGGTGCAGAAAGAAGATAAGTAGGTCAGATGACAACACTTGCTGATCCTTCAGCGGGTATGCAGAAGGACAGGTCGGAGATTAAGACACTCCATTTCGTGGAAGGTGCTCACCCTTGGTGAATCGCATTAACAACTAGGCCCTGCACTAGAAGGCTGAAGACAAGAGATATGATCGCGTTCTACAATGATCAAAACTCATAAAGTTTTGGAGATGGCCGTGCTGTGGGATGATTATTTGGTACAGGTTTGGACCTCGGCGTTCAATCACCAGACACCTAAGATAGGTTAAACGTGGAGGCTAGTTTACATTGGAATATAAATGAATGTAACTATTAAAAAATGTTTGATCTCGCAAGGAGTCCCAGTGGTCCGACAAAGTTTCTACCGATATATCAAAACGTCATTTCACGGATTAAGAAATTTGAATGCTTTTTCAGATTGCTGTCGTATCGTGGTATTGGGGGAGGATCACCAATCAAACTTGGAAGAAATATAACAATTAGATCGGCCCAGTAATCCATGCAGTATCACTGAACACAATGTCATTGGTAAGATGGCATGAGACAAATAATGTGAACTCCACTGAAAATATGGTTAGCAGAAGGAACAGACTCAGTCAGAACTGCTTCAGTGTAAAGGCATCTGGATCCTTTCAATAAAATTGGAAGCTTGCACAAAAACTACTTTTGACACAGCTTTGCAAATGTGGAAACGTTTTTAACGAAGCTTAAACTTGAGATGCGTTTTTCAAATAAAATTTGGCCAATTTGGTCAAAACAATCACATTTTTCCTGAGAAAAATTTTCCTATATGGGACAGCTCTTTCTCTGCCTCGTAAGTTATTTCCCGAATCGTACCTCCTCTGATGACTTTCATGAGTTTATCGACCAGACAGTATGAAATCGGTGGAGTGAAGCGGTGGAAACCCCGCACTCACGCCCCTGATTGGTTTCAATAAGCAATAACCAGATCCAGGTCGATTGCAAAGGTTAAGAGAGAGTATGGTGTAAATGGACAGGGAATCGAGTGAGATGACATTGGCTATCTATCAAAGAACCATTAGTTCAGGTCAGTAATAGGATGACTTGAGCTAGTCAGTTCCGGGGGTGTTGTAGTTGTGTGTTCAGCACACGGTGCATGTGTGGGGGGAGGTGAGTTGGACCATGGTAAGTACAA